CCCCCCCCCCTCATCTTCGCTGTAGCCCCAAAAGCAAAACAGACCAAATCCCATTAATCAAAGGCAGTGATATCGGTCAATCCAATCCGTGGATCAATCAATCAATCAATCAAACAATCAATCAATCAATGTAATCCCAATCGATCAATCAATCAATCAATCAATCAATCAATCAATCAAACAATCAATCAATGCAATCCAATCAATCAATGCAATCCCAATCAATCAATCAATCAATCAATCAATCAATCAATCAAACGAATTGATAACGAAGGATCAGGATGAGCTGTATTAATTCGAGGAGGAGTTAGGGGGCCTTGACCCACTAGCAGGGGGGGGGTACTTTATGCTTAGTGTATTTTCCAACGTGGTCACACTACTAGCAGGGCCGAGGGATTTTCAGATCGGATGGCAAGGACCCATGTATATTCGAAACGAGAACAGAACCTCGAGAGAAGTGGGACATGGGACATGGGACATGGGCCCGGGTCGACGATTGTATCGAAAAGACGTGGTGAACTAAAGAAAGAAAAGAAGAAAAAAAAAAAAGACGACGTGCGGCTCGAGATGCTTCTGTTCAATGGGGGCGTCCTAACACTAGGATTTTTTTACCAGTGATTCTGGACGTATTTGCGGGCGGATACGTGCATGACGGGGCCGAAACTACGGTCAGATGACTGAGATGGTGCGAGTAGAGTAGTGTTCTCCGAGTCCTCGTTACCTTTAGTCTCTTTTCTTTTTTTTTTTGTGGTTGGTTTGGGGGGGGGTGGTTCTACGTGCCCATAGTCATCCGCTTCCACTGCTTTCCACTGTATAACCCGGAACGTTATTAAAATTAAAAAATAATAATAATAAAATAGAAAACGGAACCTTGTTTCTTCAGCAGAACTCTTTCTTTTTTTTTTCCGGGAGAAAGTGACCTTTTTTATTCCGGGCCCAATTCCCAGGGGCGTTGTCCCACTAGCAAAGAGGATCGGATCGAATGCCTGAATCTGGACGTATTTGTAAACAGGTGCAGGAAATCGAGATTGAACTGCTTTTCTGCATCTCCGCATAAAACACATCCAGATTCAGGCATTCGATCCGATCCTCTTTGCTAGTGGGGCCTCGGCCCAGGCCCCAAGGAATAGAAACATACAGAAGCAGGGGTGAAATTTTCAGGGGTCGCAAGGCCTAAAGCCAGTGTCATTGTGACAGTGTGATCGAGGAGTCTGTTTTTTTTTTTTTAACTCTCTCTCGTTTTTTTTTCTTTTCCTTTTTTCTTAAAAAAACAAAAACAGTCCCACCCCTAGGAGGGGTGATAAGAGCTTATATATTCTTCTCTCAATTTCTCTCTCCATATTTCTCCTCGTCTATCTCATCTCCTCTCCTAGGCTACCAGAGTGGCCCGGGTCCACTTGCCCGGCCGGGCCAAAAAGAAATAAAAAATAAAAGAATAAAAAATATTATTTTATTTAAATTTTTATTTTAAATTTGGTAAAGAATTTCGATGTGACCCTCAGGCAAAAGTTGTTCAGTTTATTTTTCTGCATAACATAGTTTTGTTTTTCGGATTTTTGTGATTTTTTTATGTTTTTTTTTTGGCTGGGACCTTTCATGGTCCTTGCACGACTGGGCCGCCCGGGAAAAAAGGGTGACCCTGGCGGCCCGGCTGGTAGCCTAGATCCTCTCGCTTTTTTGTGCGTGTGTGTGTGTGATGGAGCAGTACCGTGAGGGGGGACAAAGTTGTGACGGGTAAGTTTAGAAATTGTAAAAAATCAGTAATTATTACTTAATAATTACTAATTAGTAAGTCACCAATTAGTAATTAGGAATTATTACTAATTAGTAAGTAGTAATTATTTACTAATAGCTACTTACTAATTAGTAATAATTAAGTAGTAATTACTAATTACTAATTACTACTTAATAATAACTAGTAGCTATTAGTAATTAGTAATTAGTAATTAGTAATTAGTAGTAAGTAGCTATCAGTAAATAGTAATTACTAATTAGTAAGTCACTAATTAGTACTAATTAGTACTAATTAGTAATTAGTCAAAAAATAGAACACGGCCCCAGGCCTGTGCTTGTTTGCAATATAATGTGGAGACTGTTTTCCCAAAAAAAAA